ACCCTGTGAACCGTTCAAAGCTTGGCGCAATGGTACTGGCATCAATGGAACGCCATTTATCTTTGAAAAAGTAGTTCCAAAAAGTAAAAAAAGTTTTACAAATCTTGTCAGTCAAGTTTGTCAGGTTCTTACAAGTTGATAGAAGTTTTTTTGACTAGTGATCACAAAGCTTACGGTAACGAAGCTCATTGAAGTATCGCGAGAGTACAAGATGCCGTTATGTCTCACGTTCATCGACTTGAAGAAAGCCTTCGACTCCGTTGAGACAGAAGCGGTTATCGAAGCCCTGGGCAAGGTATTCCACCATATACCCGGATTCTTCGTAGAAGCTCACAGCAACTTCTAACGACCAGATTTTACACCATTCTACAAGGAGATCATCATTGATGTGAAGAGAGGGGTCCGACAGGGCGACACCATCTCGCCCAAGCTCTTCAGCGCCTCTCTCGAGAACGTCATGCGTCAACTGGAATGGGAAGACATGGGAGTGAAGATCGACGGTCGGCAACTACACCATCTCCGCTTTGCTGACGACATCGTTTTGATAACGCCAAACATCGAGCAAGCGGAACGAATGCTGGCTGAATTCGACTGCGCGTGTGGAAGAATCGGTCTACGGCTGAACCTAACGAAGACGATTTCATTGAGAAACGGATGGTGTCGTGATGCCCGGCATTTCACGCTCAACGAACGAAACCAATTCTGAATGCTCTAGCTATGTGTTACCTTAGGTCGTGAAATCAATATGATGAATGACCTAGCTCAGAGCTGAGCAGGAGGAAGCGAGCGGCTTGGGGAGCCTTCAAGAACATCGAGGGAGTAGCGAAGAAGACGAAGAACACCAAGCTCCGTGCCCACCTCTTCGATTCCGCGGTCCTTCCTGCCTTGACGTACGCCTCAGAGACTTGGACTCTACGAAAGCAGGATGAGCATGCGGTGCGTTATTCAACGCGCCATCGAAAGGGCGATGCTCGGAGTTTCCCGCTACACGCAAGTGAGAGAGGGAATCCGGAGCTCCGCACTCCGCCAACGATCGAAGATCAGAGACGCCGCCGCATTTGCCAAGGTTTCGAAGATCAGGTGGGCCGGACACGTCATGCGTTTCGAGGAGCGGACCTGACCAGAGCGTCACGACTGGATTCCACGGATGTCAAAGCGAACGCCTGGAGACCGCCTACGCGATGGTCAGATTTCTTCGTGAAAGCTCTGAACGAATGGTATGAAGTTCATCGTGTCCCTCGAGCTGAGAGAGTTCATTGGGCAACTCTTGCACGTTGCAGGGACGAATGGAGACGTTACTGGCGCCCGCTCGAGGAACTCGATGATCAACGGGAGCACAGGTGATACAGGTGATACACGATCACGCTTACGATTGCCGTTAACCTGTTGCTCTGGCTCATAAATGCAGTTACAGTTTGCTTATACAAGAAGCGCTTACAGGTGTCCCCCCCCTCCTTTAATTTTCGAGAGGTAATAATGCAAATAGTTGCGCCATCACTTTTATATTATCTTCTACTTATTCTTCTTTCTTTTTTCTTCTTCTCTCTTTCAATAAGCTTCGATAAACAAGTAATCTTTTGTTGGTAGCATAATTAGGAAAATGCTATCAGCTGCTGATTGCTGTGATGAAGTCTTTTTTGTTGTCTCACGTGTTCACGTTATCTATAAGCGTTTCTCCAATGCTTGCATTTTCAAAACCGTTTAGCTAAAAAAAATCTGTTTTCAGGTCAAAACACCGGGTTCAGCCGCTTACTGGATGCATCGTGCAGGCATGCTTTGTCGTTTGGCATCGCCAAGCCGTGCGGCCACGATTGCCGTACGAAGCGCGTCGTCGAATGTGGGGAAACCTGCGAATCCGATCGCTGCACCCACAACGCAGGTGTGTAAAAAACTTTCTGGCGGCAAAGGAATTCAATCTGCTCCTGAGGAAATTTGGATGCGCGGACATTTAGAAATGCGCGAATAATAGCAATTATAGCAATTAATTATAGGAACAGTGTATGATTAGAGGAAGCGCGCTAAATTTGTTGAGGGGTCATGCGGTGACGGCTCCTTGCTCATATCAGAGGTTCTGCAGAAAAAGAGTGGAGGGGGTTACATACCCACGTCCCCTCCTCCTCCTCCTCCCCTACTTCAGTGCCTAAATATGTATACCAAACTCATGCAGTATTCATTTGACTTCCTAGTAATTTACTTCGAGTGATGCTAGCTTTTGCAGATTACACTGGCGGGAACCGTGAGCTTTGAACTATTTGTGCTTTTCATTTTTCTCTTGTGAGTTTTCCAAAGATACCAAGATTTGGGACTTGTGGTATAATAGGTATTTTGTATGCAAATCCTTGTCATCCTTGTCTAGTATTGAAAAATCCCGGACATTAACCCTTTTCTTCCCCTTTCTTCAATATTCAGGCCATCATTCATCTAAACTTCTTCCCAAGGTTAGAGTTGGCCGTAACTCCTCCCCCTCACCCTCTCCTTGGAGGTAGTCTGACCCTCTGAACATGGGCATCCCATACACTCAAATCAGAAGTGCTAGGAGTGCTAGGCGTTATTACCATAATTCTACCGACCCTGGTGTCTGCGCCATTAGCGCTCATATCGTCGTTCCTAATCGTTTCACACGTCCAGTATTCCTGCTCAAGAGTCGAACACAGTCCTGGGGACATATTCCAGCAAGTTAATTGACTTATATACGGTCTCTATTGAAGCGAGCTGTAAGCCTTCTCGCGCCAAGCGGATGCGATGTCCGTGCTAGGAGGCCAAACTGCGCTGGGACTGGACCGCCCAAATTTTCTCTAGTGAAAAGAATTTTTATCAAAATCTGGCATGAATCGGAAAATGGAGCAGTAGGCGATAAATAAGGCCAAATCAAGGTCATTAAAGATCAGTTGGAAACAAAATTAAAATGAAATCTGCTATTTGACGTGGTTCGGTTGATGGACGGCACTGCTCAGTTGTAATCAGGACTCGTAACAACTCAAACCCCTGAAGATGAGCCAAGAACAACGCACTGTTGTATAAAGCATTTTTTCCTAATCTTCTCCTGCTGTTTTTTACGAGAGGAACAATTTTCCATGTTCCCTTAATAAATTCTTGAAATTTTTAAAAGTTGCCTGACTGTGTAATGAGCCAAAGCCTAATAACCTGAACAAGGTCGCGAAACTGAGTATTAATTGGCGATTATTGAAGGTTCGGCAGCAGTCGTTGGCTTCTGCAGTTAGCTCGGAGCCATTCATGAATGCCACCTCCTCCATGTATATCGAGCAGGTATGCGTCCAGTCTTCTCTCCCGAACTTACTAGACTGATTATTTTTTACGGAACCGAAAATGGTACTCTTTTCAGATGTACGAGGCCTGGAAGGTGGACCCCAAGTCAGTCCATGCATCATGGGATGCGTACTTTAGAAATGTTGAAGGAGGTGCTGCTCCTGGTCAGGCCTATCAGGCACCACCAACAGCTTATGGAGCTGTCGGCGTTCCGGGAGTCACACCACTCATACCAGGAGTGCAAGTTGGCGGAGGATTCACTATGTACGTTCCCAAGAAACTATTAGCTCCAAAGATTACGCTGAAATTAATGTATTCGGGAAATCAGAAAAGACAGAAACCATCCTTCAGAATGAAATTACGGCTTTTCGCAGGGCAGAACAATCTCAAATATCGTCGGAAAGCGTAGCACCTGAAGAAGCTCCTCCAGTAGAAAAAGAGGATGGTCCAGAAGTTAAAATTGCTGCTAAGGGAAAGAAAAGAAGTTTAGGAAAGAAACTTGCTAATACACTTACCTCAGCGAAAAACTATGGCCTCATGATAGGGTTTGTGTGTTTTCTTCAGAAGAAAAGAGGAAGTTACATAGCTTAAGAAATGCGGGCACTATACACTGCAGCTGCTGAAAAACATGAGGGAATGCACAATCGGGTCTGGTCTCCAGCACAGAAGGATTCATTAAGCTCCTTTTACAGTTTTGTTCAATGTGGATTTTGAGGTGTGTCATTAGCGCGGGATTTAGCGCTATTCCAGCTCGTTCTCCACCTGTTGTTGAAGCGGGTGAGCTACAACAATTGGTGCTAAACTACTGATAAGGACGATTTGATATAGTCTTTTTGCTTACTGCAAAAAAAGCGGGCGTCGCGTTAAATACATCCCCTCTTGACACGCCCTATCCATCCATCTGTGAATAAGACTGTATTAGGCGCGATTGAGTCGACAGTTTTGTGAATAAGCTCATAACTGTTAGGTCCAGGATCGATGGGTGGGCGATAGGCTGCTATAGAGAGCCATCTCTGAAGGTCTGTGTCGTACAACTCCTGGTAATACGTTTGACTGGATGTATGACCGATTGGGATATCTACCCAGGCTTATGAAAGAAAGGCTAGTTACCATATGTGATGTCTGTCCAGGTCCTGAATTGTCTCGGTTTCCCTACCCATGGGAATCAAGCAATTGATGCAATGGTTTTTCCCTTACTTATCAGGCCCTCTGCTGGAATTTCCTCAATCCAATTCCTGAGATTACTCTTCCAACTTTTCAGACAGTTGCCTTCTTGTTTCTTTTTAGTTTTATCAACTCCCGATATGTTATATCCGCAGCTATCAGCCCATTCTGAATCGTTTAGGCCTCAAGTTATGCCATCGACCTCGATCGCGCCCACTACCGGGCTCGATACTTCCGTGCAGGCCATCTCTGACCATCTCAAGGTCCAATTACTCATAAGAAGTTTCCAAGTATGTTATTTGATTCTTAAGCGTAGTCAGTCTACAGTAAGCCTTGGATGGCACTGATTGCTCTATGCTGCCAGCACATTCTTTTTCAAATGAAGATCTCAGTGACCTGCACCTCTATACCAATACTGGATAGCTCAGTTATTCAGCTAGTCTTAACTGTTGGTTATGTATACTCAGCTGTACGCTTCACTTTCGCTGCTTTAGACTCGTGGCCATAATATAGCCGATTTGGATCCACTAGGAATAAATAGTGCCGATCTCGATGACACCATCCCACCGGAGCTTGAACTCTCCTTCTATGGGTTCGGAGAACGTGATCTGGACAGGTGGGGCTGATTTTGTTGGTTTCCTTTGATGAGCTCGATAAACGAGTGCCTTTCTGTCATAAACGATCTTTCAGAGAGTTTCTGCTGCCGCCAACTACCTTCATAGGAGGTGACAAGCAAGTCCTTACTCTACGTGAAATTGTCCACAGGCTGAAGGTACATTTGTGGGGTTTCTTTGGAACTATGCCTTCATAAATGATGCCAAATATTACAGAGAATCTACTGTAAAACTACTGGTGTCGAGTACATGCACTTGAACAATCTCGAGCAACAGGATTGGATTCGTCAGCACTTTGAGGCACCTCGTGTGACGGAACTATCTCACGACCAGAAGAAGGTTTGTGTGCACTCTATTTCGAGATTTGTAACTAATACTCTGCTAGCCAACTCCTAGGGTTTCGTTCGCTGCTGACCTCAAGTTATGCAAACCGTTCACCGATGGGTACTAGTAGTTTACCTCTTTTACCTCTGAAGGTCTTTCAAATGCAGATATGTACTGGCGGACGCCTTCAAGCCCGGTTTAACCGTCGGTTTTGTAAAGAAGGTGTAAGGTTGTTGCTTGCCGATAGCGATGTGACCACGCACTCGCTTGATAAGAGTGAAGTGCAGGTTCGAGGCTCGTCGAAACGAAGTCTTCTACCCACATTATCCATGTGATGTTACAGTTTTCGGCGTGGCACCAACCTCTTTCCCATTACTTGTTGAGAGACCAAAGCCGCCACGCCACAATTGATGCGAAACGGGCTGGCCTGCGCTCTGTTGGCCAGCCCGTTTCCGCTCTTTGTAGGGTTAACTGTCATTTCATAAGGGTAGTACCGGCAATAGATCATAAGGCGAAGCGGGAAAACACTTTGTTCACTCTCGTTGGGCAGCTTTTAAAAACGACCTTCAGATAAGGTTGAAAGCGTATATGATGGTATAGGTGGTTTCTCGCGGCCGTTATGGCCTATCATCTCTGCTTTCATAGACTTATATAAGGCTTTCACTGGAGATTAGCAAAATTTTCTTCTCCAGGTATTGTTTAAACGTCTGATTCGTTCCACCAAGTTCGAGGAATTCCTAGCCAAGAAATGGCCTAGTGAGAAGCGATTTGGTTTGGAAGGATGTGAGGTGCTGATCCCCGCTGTCAAACAGGTAAGTAGTAAGTGATTTCCGTGTCTACATCAGTCACTGCCATATCGCATCGAACAACTGAATATGATTCTGATTGGAAGTAGTGCCCCGTCCCAAAACCGGGTCTTCCAGCGGCGAAAACTATCGTTTGTAGGTTATCGATACTTCCTCGAGCCTTGGTGTTGATTCGGTGGTCATTGGAATGCCCCATCGTGGCCGTCTTAATGTACTAGCAAATGTCTGCCGTCAACCGCTGTCCACAATTCTGTCACAGTTCTCGACACTTGAGCCAGCCGATGAAGGTATGTTTCGGTCATTTATGGTTCCAGTGGATGTCTTTGTCGTGGATAGGATTTCATTAAAGGCTCTGGTGATGTGAAATACCATTTGGGTGTATGCGTAGAACGTCTTAACCGTCAGTCCCAGCGTAAAGTAAAGATCGCTGTAGTGGCGAACCCGTCACATCTTGAAGCTGCGGATCCTGTCGTCATGGGCAAGGTAAAGCACTTGATATTGCTGGACAACTGACTGTAACTGGTAGCTTGCACTTCTGACTGGTGCTGTTTGAGGTTCGTGCTGAAGCGTTCTACGCCGGCGACGAGAAATGTGACCGAACAATGGCTATCCTCATGCATGGAGACGCTGCATTCTCTGGCCAAGGCGTAGTGATGGAGACGTTCAATCTAGACGATTTGCCAAGTTATACTACTCATGGATGTATTCATATCGTAGTCAACAATCAAATTGGCTTCACTACTGATCCCAGGAGCTCGCGGTAAGCTCACTCATGGTATCACTAGCAATTTCATTGTGCTTATACATTTTTTTACATGTGTTTTTTATGTGCAGTGAATCAGCCGGCACGGGCAAAAATGACATAAGGGAACGCAGCTCCGAGATTGGGGCTCGACTTCCGCTTAGGTTTTTGGCCGCTTTTGCCCCTTCCTCCCTAATTTTTCGTGAAATTCGACGGCGCAAATGCGTACTTCCCCCATTTGTGGGTTACCTTATTCCATTTTTCATGGACTATGTCACTGCGATTATGATCCCGTGCTTTATCTTGGGTTCCCATTGCCCACTGCTGATAAGCGCCTACTGGGTAAAGGTCAGTGTTGATAAAAAAGAAGACTAGCGTCAATTCTGGCCCAGGCTTTGACCTTCTGCCCAACAGAATGTCGCTTATTTTCAGTTTTTCCATTTTTAGCTCATCACCATATTGTACGGACGTTGGCCGAGTTGTTGGCTGCCCGATTTTCCATGTGAATGTGGACGATCCTGAAGCTGTGATGCATGTTTGCAACTGTTGCGGCTCAATGGCGCAATACTTTCAAGAAAGACGTGATTATTGATCTTGTGTGCTACAGAAGGTAAGGATGTTCTCGTCGCAAGAAAACTGCATTATAAAAAACAATTCGTGAAATGACTGGTCCTGATAGACAGATGGATTGATTGATGGACTGACAACGCTTTGCAGACATGGCCACAATGAGCTCGACGAGCCCATGTTCACTCAACCGCTTATGTACCAGAAAATTAAACAACATCCAACAGCCCTTGAAAAGTATCAGGATCATATCATCAAGGAAGGCGTCGCAAATGAGCAGTATGTAAAGGTACTGAGATTGCGTTTCTGTCCACTTCTGTTTCCTTTCATAGCCCCAGCCCCGTTCTTCAGGATGAGCTCACAAAATACGGTCAAATTTTGGAAGATGCCTACGAGAATGCCCAACAGGTCACTTATTTGAGAAACCGTGACTGGCTGGATTCTCCTTGGGATGATTTCTTCAAACATCGTGACCCACTCAAGGTAATTCTTTAGTTTTCTAGTGTTTGGATAGAAATATTTTACTAATTTTTGCTCGAATTGCTCAATTTAGCTTATTTCAGATTGTCAGCACTGGTGTTGATGAAGACACAATTAGACTGATCATTGATAAGTTCGGTTCATATCCCGAAGGATTCCATTTACATCGTGGTCTGGAAGAGAATTCTCAAGGGGCGTAAGCAAATGCTAAAGGAGAATTCGGTACGTTATTTATTCCGCTGCTGATGTAGCGTAGGTACGAGGTAAGCAAGTTACCTGTTAGGAGCTTAACGATGTTGCGCTCATACTTCGCGTCGGCGTTTTGCGCTAAAATGAAAGTACGGGTATCAATCCAGCATCCACCCTGGTGTACCCTGAATCGATACCATTACTTGCTGTCGATCAAGATGCTAAAAGGTGTCGCAAAGTACGAACGCATTCTGGCGTCTTCGAGCTCCTGACACGCAGCGAACCTGTGCTACACCTAGTCTGTCTAGTCGGATTTAAACCTTTATTCGTATATTGATTTAGCTTGATTGGGCCTGTGGTGAAGCGTTGGCGTTCGGATCGCTTCTCAAAGAGAACATTCATGTTCGCCTCAGTGGACAGGATGTTGAACGTGGAACGTTCTCTCACAGACACCACGTTCTACACGATCAGCTGATCGATCAGAAGGCAAGTGTGCCCCTCCTGCAAAGTTTTTCTCGGTTTATAAGTCCTATATTTAACTACATGATATCACTACCTCTTTCTTTTCAAGACCTACAACCCACTGAACGATATACAAGAAGGTCAAGCACATTACACTGTATGCAACTCATCATTGTCGGAGTTCGCTGTCCTTGGATTTGAGCTCGGTACGAATTGTTCAATTTTCTAAATAACATTTTCAGGTTAGATCATGCATATCATAGTTTTCATTACAATTTTGAATTTTTTTTTCACGTAGTTTGCTCCATTTCTAGGTTATTCCATGGTTGAGCCGAATGCCCTGGTCATCTGGGAGGCCCAGTTCGGTGATTTTGCGAACAATGCTCAATGCATCATCGACCAATTTGTTTCATCAGGTTAGTATTTATTGTTCTCTTAGACAGCGTTCAGACTTCGCGATTATGCGCATCGACGCGCTACGACGCGCTGCCATTGTAATGCCACTCCAGTGCTATCGACGGGAATGCTGCCATAGACGTGTATTGATCGGCCCAACCGCTGATGTTTTGTGAGAGTGCATGATGAAGAGTAGGCGTTGTCTAGCACACAGTCTGATATGCTACTATCCTTATGCTATACTGAAACACTAGCGGCCGGCGCCGATCGATACCGTTTGAGGCTGCGTTTCCCTTAACATCTTTGGAGCGCCATTGCAATGGTAGAGCGTCGTCGCGAAGTCTGAACGCTGCCATAGGCCAGATCGAGCGATACAACTTTACACTACGAACGAACTTCTTCAGGACAATCGAAATGGATCCGTCAGTCTGGTCTAGTAATGCTTTTGCCCCATGGTTACGAAGGAATGGGACCTGAACACTCATCAGCTCGTCCAGAAAGATACCTACAAGCTGTGTAACGAGGACGATCAGATTGATCTTGAGGTAAGCACTAAGGTTTTTTTTGTAGGGCCATAGGAAACTGACATTTTTTTTCCAGTTCTGTATGAATTCATTCCGTGTGTTGCAGAATATTGCATTTGGTGGCACATTTGAAGCCCAGCAACTCCATGACACCAAACTGGATCGTCGCCAATTGCACCACCCCGGCCAACCTTTTCCATCTACTTAGAAGACAAGTGAGTTGTGTACCTTTCCCAATGACTGCTTTCACTGTACTTCCATTTATGGTCCCCCCTGTTTGTGCTTTCAATTCCATTTAACCTTATTTTGGTTCATATATAGAAAGATTTTTTGATTGAAGGTAGCCATGCCGTTCCGTAAGCCAGCTGTGGTGATGACACCAAAGTCACTGCTTCGTCATCCGATGGCTCGTTCACCGATCGAAGATTTCCTGCCCGGCACATTTTTCCAGAGAGTTATCCCCGATAGCACTCAACATAGTGGAAATGTACAACGACTGGTCTTCTGCACAGGTGAGTAGGTATTGGTGGTCAATGGAACCGTAGCGTTCTTGTCAAAGCCCTCAGAGCTGCAAAAGTGACACATGCCGTGCGATTGCAAAGCGCGCCACCACCTCTGCATATAAAGTGTACCGCAGTGGGGCAGTTGTGGACACTGGGCGTTGGAGTATTCCCCTTTTGATACCTCAACTGATGACGGCTAAGATCGATGGTGCTGCGCATAGTCTTCGAGTGTCTTCAGTTTGGAATGCTTGGGCGCATCCCTCTTAGCAGCAGTTCTCGCAGAGCTCAGTTTCGCTTTAGTGAAAGCAACAAGATAAGAACACCTTTGGTTCTATCGCAATCTCTGGTCGACACCTACAAGTGGCAGACTGTCCAGTCTGGTCGATGGGCTACATTTTTGATTTGATATGCACGAGTTGTTCATCTTATCGATCAACTACTAGAACAACTCTCAACGTCCAAAACTGGCTAGTTTCCGCTGTGTAATTCGTCATCGTAGACGATTACTGTTACTGTAGGAGTAGGAGAGTGTAGTGAATCGCCGAGTGTTCTGCCTTAACTGAAAACGACTGGTAAAAAAGGGACTGCTAGAAACGATATGATGCAGCATTGTTGCTTGCCGAAAGAAAAAGAAAACCTGGTTGGCACTGCGTCAAACGCACTCCTGACTTCCGGAGCGAACCGGACTTATAACGTGGATATTTTTTTCGATTGATTTACAAACTGAGAGCTTGGGCGGGTTAGTCAGGTCACTTCGCTTACGTCGCGCGCGGCGAGTAGCGCGGTAAATAGCGCGGCAGTTTAAGGGTTGAATCACTATCCAAGAGTTGTCGTTGGAGTAAAGGATTAAGTGAATTCAGGACGCCCTCGACCATCCGTTGGCGAACCTTCCGTCGATCCCTTTGAAGGCAGTTGGCACGATGGTTTCCTACTTAGCCTAAAATGCTAGTAGGGCGCTGTATAGTGGGGAAATGGCGAAAGAACGGAGTGAAACGGTCAAAATCCTGCGAAGAAAAAGCCTCCGTTCTCAGTGACTTGTAAATCGATTTCGGACGAGTTTCCCGTAGGCATCTTACTAGTCGAGGCGGAGGTGGTGTAGTGACAAGTGGCGCGCTTACCACTCGCGCGGCGCCGGGTTCAAATCCCGGGTCGACTCCCGCGTGTGCCCATGTATGCATGCAGCATCACGGCCGCTTCATACCAATCCCTTCGCTTCATAATTTGCTTAGCAAATGAATGAATACGAGCGTCAGGAACGGTCGTCCATTTGTGGGCGGGCGGGCGTGGCGGGCGTTTGGGACGTAAAGTTGTGGCTTGATAACCTTCCTCGGGGAAACCGCTATGCAGCGCCTGCCCAGGGTCGCGGAATTCTATCCTGCCAGGAGTATTGATCCTAGTCGTCTTGGGGGATTTATCGTGCCAACTGCCTTTTGATTTAAATCAGCCGTGAGACAACACAACTCGTACACAACGGCCGCGGTGCCGCCAGCCACGCCAACAAGTGCGCCATGTACCCCCCCCCCAACTTTGTATTTTTTAACCGAGCGATCAATGGTGGACTTCTTTTCTACCAATGACGTTTAAACTTTTGTTCCGCTTTTTATATCTCTCCATTGCCTCTAAGGATATAAATTCGGACCTGCAGCGACTGAATTAATTATGTGCTTATTTCAGGAAAGGTATACTACGATCTGGTGATGGCCAGAAAGCATGTAGGAAAAGAGGATTCGGTTGCGATCTGCCGTATTGAACAAATTTCTCCGTTCCCATACGATTTAGTTCAAGCTGAATGCCAGAAATATCCAGAAGCAGAGCTGGTTTGGTCTCAGGAGGTTTGTTACAGCTTTTCGACCGTCTGAGCAAAGATTTTCGTCGAAATATTTAAGTGACATCGACCGCGCTCTCTTTTGCTGCATTTCCGGCAACGGCTCATCCCAGCACTTTCATTTTGTCGCGAACCTCGAGCTCTTTCGGTGTGAATGGTGGAGCTTCAGAGACATTTCCTACGATAATGCTTTCAGGAGCACAAGAACATGGGAGCATGGGGTTTCATACAGCCCCGTATCAACAGTCTGATGCAGTCTGAAAACCGCGGGATCATGTATGCTGGACGTCACCCGTCAGCCTCACCGGCCACCGGCAATAAGTATACTCATCTTCAAGAACAGAAGGACATGATGAGCAGAACATTCGACGTTCCGAAGGCTCAACTGGAAAGTTTTAAGGCGTAATCCCGTTTACCGGTGGTGAGTTTTTGCCTAATAAGTGTACCCACCGGGTCAGGTCGGGTCTGCTCACCGCATCTCTTCATGAATATTTATTTTTTTCTCTCTTTGCTGCGTAAGAATCATTGACCAGTGGTTTAAAAATCGACGAACGATCGCTCTCTGTCGGAATTATTCTCAAATAGGCACTCTGTACTAGTTTGTTTTTTTCAACGTTGTTTTGTCGGTCACACATTGTTCAGATTTGTTTTTTTTCACCCATAGGGCATGCATCTGCAGCTTTACACAGCATCTAGCGTCACTAATTTGTCACTATGTGAAATATTTCCATAATATTTAGTATAGGTGTGATACAGAGTGAATTAATTAATTAGTAAAAGAAGTTGAAATGCTTAATTACCGATGCTTGGTGTGTTATCAAGTAGTGTCAGTGATTGTTCATAGATAACTAGAAGAGTTATTAATACGTGTGTGCGTGTGTGTTTTGATGTCTCGAAACATTGTGTGGCGGATATTCCTAATAAACATTCGGTTTGCAACAAGAAAACATAAATTTTCAGATATTTTTCGCAATATTTTGTTGTCCACGGAGGAGGCAGACAAGACTGTCATGATTTGTCGCGTCGTCGCGCGCGGTGCACAGTGCAGCAATCGGCAAATATTCAATTTGGATCAATTTTCGCCTGGAGCAGCGAAGCTCATATGAATGAGGGGCAAGGTTCCACGAAGGGCTATATTGAAATTTCCCGTCCCTTCAACGCTCAAATGGGCGGGCAGGACAATACGTCCATTGGGCGCGATGTTGCTCGCCACGCCTACCAGCGAGGCATATTACGATTGTCTTGCCGCACTCCCCTATCGCGGAGCCTCATCAGAATCTAACCGTGGAGACAAAGAGGCGCCGGAAGGTTTCATTGCACAAGACTCCATCGACCTAGAAGGAATTCAAGAAATTCGGCGCTATGCAACTATTACAACCCCCAAAACTGAAGAAATTTTCTGGTGAAATTTTGACTATGAGGTAAATCGATGTTCTAATCGCAATATGACATTCATTCTTAACGCTGGCACCAACTTTGCGTCACCACCTTTCTCACTAAGATCGGGTAAACTCGCCTACTGCATATTCGGTACAGTGATTACTGCGATCACGAACATGACATTTAGCCGTGCCGCCATTATACGCATCCCCTTTTTCACCAAAATCGATAAAAACTTGCATAGTAGGGTTGTTCGATGCCCTGATCACGAATATGGCATTCATTTTCCGAGCCAGCGCCATTTTAGGGCTCTGGTAAGGCTGAGCCTGAGAGGAGTGATTGTTTCCAGGCCGAGCTCATCCTTGGCAGAGCGCAAGTGATCGTAGTGTCTTCATTAGCGCTAGCGCCAAGAAAAAAAGGTCATATTTAAAATCAGGAGGTCAATCTACCCCTGGGGACAAGTTTTCAGTGGGTTTGGCGATTTGGGGTACCTTGGCAGACAGTCCAAGCAGTTTCAGGTCGAACCAGTCCTATCACGAATTTTCAGCAGAATCTGTCCCCGAAGAAAAAAGTCTTTAGAAGTTGCCCTGTTCTCGAAAGATTAGGGTAGCAATAGTTGAATAGTGCCAAAGATTTTAGAAACAATGATTTTAGAAAATCAGCAAGTGATTATTGTAATGTAAAAAAGGTAGGTAGGCGGGGTGTTGCAGCAAGTGGCACGCTTACCACGCCCACGGTCCGGGAATCGAATCTTGGGTCGGCTCCCTTCCAGGATAACCACGCTTTCTTCACT